GACATTTAACATTATTTAGCGAAAAATCAAGCCATTTCTCGATCTGTTGATTAAATAGTGTCGGTGTGCAAACATTCATTTGAAGATAATAACAGTTTCAACAACAAATACCTGCGTTTGAATGCAACACGATTACAATCGTAAATAGGAAGCATCAGCGACGTTTAATGTGCGCTTCTGCAAAGCAGCTAGTATAACTTGAGTACATCCTGAGAACCGCTTGTGGAAGTACGGTATAGCGCAGTACAGAATTCACGCTCGGTCTGACCTGAATATTAATGCTCAATGCATATATATCTTTATCATACAGTCTTATCCAAGAATATATCTTCAAACTCTAGTAGCAAGGATCGTGGAACCACAGTTGCCCAAGCACGCTTCTACATATTTTACCAAACAATAATACATTTCTTCGACGAATTCATAAATTTTCACGAAGGAATTTTTAGCATTGTTCATTATTATATTACACAATGAGAGAGATATTATATTACACGGGAGAGGGATACACACACACACATATCTTTATACAGTATAAATATATAAAATTTATATATGAAATATAATACTTTTATAAAATTTTTAAATAATGATAAAAATCCAAACAATATTTATTCTTAATCGTTTGCATTTTTTAATAAACATAAAATAATGGCAATTTTGTTTACTCGATGTCATTATACATGCGTTAATCTTTGTGAGACGCGTAGTGACTTTGCTCATTAGTTTAGAAATTAGAAGTCCTGAAATTACTAGTTCAGAACCTCGCAAGAAACGTCACTTCAGGTTGCTTAATCGGCACGATGGTCAGGTGATTAATTATACGACGAAACGCACAATCATCTAAAGCCACAGACAATCGGGGTCGTGATTGTTGACGGGCTAAGATACATTCTGATGCGCAATTAATCGATATTTCGACTAATTGATGCCTGACTCGATTAATAATTATGACGGTTCACCGCGCGTCCAACAGCACATTTACAATAGGAATCAGCAGATTAATTATTGTTAACGCTATTGATGTCAATGTCTCACGGCATCCTAATCATTATGTTTAATTAACTTGTCTTCTATGTAATACTTGTACATAATTTATTTATAAATTGATTATCTTGTTCAATTTAATTCAGATTTTAGCAAATTAAAGTGTAAACTCTAGCTGTTATATATTTATACTTTAATAACGTTTTTATAGATTGAGTTTTGCACAATTCATAAAAGTTAAATTAAGTAGATGGCGAGTTAATATCCGTGGCGCGAATAATGTTTTCTTAATTAAGCCTCATACAAAGAACACGTGCTTTCTCACCTTGAAACGAAAATTGCGCCGAGCTTGTAGATGGACGCGGAAAACGTTGTAGCAGGCTAATTTGCGGCGGTGCTAAACGAGGAGTTGTCGGGGCATCAAGAAACAGAGCTAGACAAAGGTTGTGAGAGGGAAGAGGGAGTAGAAGCAAACTCTAGACAGCGTGAACTCGCGCGAACTACGGCCCGAGTAATTATCTTTGCAGCGGGAAATGTTATTTACTCGCACCTATTTGCTTCTTCGGACATTTGATCTTTGTTGCAGGAAACTTGGCCATTTAGCCTCGGCATGAACATTAAATTTCGCTACTTGTCTTGATAACACGCGGAAGATGTACGATTATGACTGTCGAAGCGTCATTGCTGCTTGCTCGCGTGCACAATGAGGCGTGATAACCGATAGACAATCCGGATGTAGAAAACATTTCCGAGAGGAAAGCAAATTGCAGATCCTGAAATCGGGCAGAAACGCGAAGAGGAAAGAGAGAGAGAGAGAGAGAAATTGGGCACGGTTGATCGGCCTTTGTGTCGCTGACACTTTCATAACCGCTGATTGTCCCTCTATCGAAACCCTCTTTTAGATCGAATCAAACGGAACTAGCCATAATTGTACGACATAATTACAGGCCGCGCTTGTGGCTTTCTCTACCGTTCATTTGTCCCGACTTATCTTGTTCAATTTAATTCAGATTTTAGCAAATTAAAGTGTAAACTCTAGCTGTTATATATTTATACTTTGATAACGTTTTTATAGATTGAGTTTTGCACAATTCTTTTCGTTAAACAAACAAACATTAATAAAAGTTAAATTAAGTAGATGGCGAGTTAATATCCGTGGCGCGAATAATGTTTTCTTAATTAAGCCTCATACAAAGAACACGTGCTTTCTCACCTTGAAACGAAAATTGCGCCGAGCTTGTAGATGGACGCGGAAAACGTTGTAGCAGGCTAATTTGCGGCGGTGCTAAACGAGGAGTTGTCGGGGCATCAAGAAACAGAGCTAGACAAAGGTTGTGAGAGGGAAGAGGGAGTAGAAGCAAACTCTAGACAGCGTGAACTCGCGCGAACTACGGCCCGAGTAATTATCTTTGCAGCGGGAAATGTTATTTACTCGCACCTATTTGCTTCTTCGGACATTTGATCTTTGTTGCAGGAAACTTGGCCATTTAGCCTCGGCATGAACATTAAATTTCGCTACTTGTCTTGATAACACGCGGAAGATGTACGATTATGACTGTCGAAGCGTCATTGCTGCTTGCTCGCGTGCACAATGAGGCGTGATAACCGATAGACAATCCGGATGTAGAAAACATTTCCGAGAGGAAAGCAAATTGCAGATCCTGAAATCGGGCAGAAACGCGAAGAGGAAAGAGAGAGAGAGAGAGAGAAATTGGGCACGGTTGATCGGCCTTTGTGTCGCTGACACTTTCATAACCGCTGATTGTCCCTCTATCGAAACCCTCTTTTAGATCGAATCAAACGGAACTAGCCATAATTGTACGACATAATTACAGGCCGCGCTTGTGGCTTTCTCTACCGTTCATTTGTCCCGACCGCATGTGTTACATGTCTCCTCTTTCTCTCTTTCTCTCTCTCTCTCTATTTTGACGTTTCCATCCTCGACTACGTATTCAATCAGTACTTGGACATATAGTTAGCTGCGTCGGCACTTTTTGGACAGACTTGTTCGTAGTATTAGCATCTCCGATAGAGATTGCTGGAAAAAGAAGAAGAACGAAAACGGGAGATGCTATTCTGTGCGAGGGAGACACGAAACTCGGTTACGATGGAGATGTTTGACGGAAGTGGCGAATCGTAATTGAGGGATCGTATTCAAGAGGGTGGTCAATTGAAACACAAAGGCTGTTGAAAGTGAAGTCGGCGGTATGAAATAGCTAGAAACCGTCACTGCAAACGATACGATTCAACTTACAATAATATGCATATATGCAAAATTATAATTTAATCCAACAAATAAAAGTATTATTTACGTTTGTTTGGTAAATTAAAACTGAAATCGACACAAGAAAATATTTTAATAAATATTATAAAAATATATCTTCAAAATGCTCTAAAAAAGTTTTTCAATAGATAAAGTCATCTCCAATCAGACCGAGATTTTGTTGAATATTATCATTTCTGTCCATTTAACTGAAAAAGAGATAATTATTTATTGTTTCCTTTGTTTCGCGCGACGACAAAAGATATAAGAAATAAAGGAGAGAAAAGAGTTTTATCCGAACAATTGAATGTTAGTGAAGATAAAAAATAGGAGAAGATAAAGTACCGTTATTTACGCGGGTTGAGTTTTATATACTTGAGAGAGGCGTCCTTAACGAAGTTGCTTTCTTTACTCTGAAATGATACGACGGCGAAAGTTGTGAGCTGCTCTCCACTTTGAGTATGATCGCAGACCGGAAAATGCTAAGGTGTAGGAAAGTGTTCAGGAATCTCGGTTAAAGCGATGTTAAGAGCAGTTAAGAAGATAGCGCGAGCTAATAAGGCGGACGAGCGATAAGTATTATACGTAAAGAGCCGAGAAGGACACATAGTTTCTGAAGCTAAGCGCCGATCGTCCACCAATGCCAGAGCAGGTGCATAAAAGCCGTCCTTCCGGAGCGCAAAGTGGCTTTCATAACTGCCGGACAAGTTCGTGGTAAAACCGGTGACGGTAGATAACGACGAGTGAATAACACAGCGGCAAAACGACGAGTTAACTTTGGCTTGTCACATTATGAATGACTGAGCCGCTGACTCCCCGCTAGCTCCGGTGCGCGTAATGGGGTCGCCATCCCATCCCTTCCGTGGTCTCCTTGCCGGCAGGCTACCTCATGAAACATTATGGGGAATCACGACCTCCAACTTATGCACCGCCGCCGGCCGCCTCGATGGAGATACGCTAACGAGACATCGACGACATTTCCAAGCAGATGAAAATGCAAATGCCAACGTCGCTGAGTCCGAGAAACGACGCGATTTCTCCTCTCTCGGCGCGATATGAATTTCATACCAATCGTGAGACGTGACGGAAATTAAAATAACTACATAAGATAATTGTTATTTCTGCTGCGTTCTCACATTTGATATTGTTAAATAGAATGTTTGTTAAGTGGAATAATGAGGATTGATGAGAAAGAAAAGTGGGAAGTTTTATATTTCATAAAATTTTTATATGTTTGAGTAGAGTCACACATCTCTAGAATTTTTCAAATATATCTTATGCTATTATAGTATTTATAAATAATTAGTACGAGATTGGATTAAAGCGATGCATTATTTTAAAAGCAATTTTCAATAATTGGTATCATGTGATCTTTAATACAAATATGTTTTACATATATTACAATACAATCCGTCGATGAATTTAAAACAGTTTTCTCTATCCCAATTGTAAATAATATTATTGCATATTCATGTTCTCTATCCAAGCGTAGTCACGCACTGCCACACTTTTTTCTTTTTTTGTTGTTGTGAGTACAAAAATTTTATGTAAAAAGTTTTGCGAACAAGCGCCAAATATTTTAATTTACAAAATCCATTATAGAAGTTGCGTAAATTTGCAAAAAATTGACTTTAACAGTTTCCCTTGGAATTTTTTACGAGAGAATTTCTTGAGACCAGAATCTGTTCCATCTCTTAATGATCAAACGTAAAAAGAGCTTTTTTAATAAAATTTTGTTATTTTGTTGCAGACGGAATTTTGTGTCGGCGGAAGAAAAGCTTTTTGATCTGGGCAAAGCCACTGAAAAATCTAACGGGAAACGAATAAAAGTCTACGCGAAGATCGACAGGGAGCAGGAGAAAGACCGGCAGCAAGTCGAGGTAAGAAAAAAGACGAAAAATCATGAAACGCGCGCGGACCAGCACATGTTACGGATGTAAAAAAACGTGGTAGAGGAGAGCGAAAGCGAGATAGAAAGACCGTTATTCCCGCGATCGTCGTCAGTAGAGAAGCGATGATTGTGTCTTCATGTTATACTCGAAGGAACGGAGTAATACGTTTCAAGAAGGAGGAACGTGAGGTATAGGGTGCATAAATCAGGACTCGCGCAGAAATGAAGATTCTGTCCGAGAAGAGGAATAACGTCGGCGCGAGCGCAAAATTTTACGTGACGTAAAATTCGCTCGCTGAACGGAAAAAAGTGCGCTTGATAAACAACTGTGCTATCTCTTTGTTTTAAATTTCCATATTTATTGCTGGCGGCAATATATGTCGAGTACCAATTAGAACAGAGATGCGTGATCACGCTTAATTAATTAATTTTGCTGTTTCGCGGATCGATTATATATATCCTACTCGACCATGATTCGAAGTCCGCGAGAAATTAATTAAACAACTTAACCGCTCTTTCAGATGCATTCATTTTTTTCTATTCAATCATCAGCATATTTATCGATTTCATTTATTTAGATTCTCCCAATTAATTTTGCTGTTGAATCTTTATGTCTTAACAATCCATTTGCATATCAATCCTTCGTTCCTACTAATTTTCAGAATCGCTTTAATGAAATTCCTCCTTCGAGAATTCTTTTATCAAAAGGCGTATAAATGTTACGCGTATAGATGAATCGTATTCATTTAATTTTCTTCGAGCCATCCGTCGAACGACTCTACGTATCGCGGCGATATGAAAATACCGACTATTACAGACTGCAGGGATAAAACGACGGTAGTATCGACAAGTTTCGTTCGATTGCGTAGATATTCAACGGCTGTGACATATTGTTGTGCGCTCGCTCTCGGGACGAAAAAAAGGGGAGCAGGGAAACGAGACGAAGAGGAACGAACGTAGCGAACAAAAGCGGAACGGAGTAGCGAGACATGCCGGGGAAGATGATATTGAGGCGGAGAACTGATTGAAACGAGAGAAAATGACGACTATCGAGGCCGCTAGTGAAATGAGTGCGGTACGTCGAGCAATATGGTTCAGTGCTGTATTATTCGCAGCGACACCCTTGGCCTACACTCAAGTAACATGGACGCCTATCTATGTGGGAGGATACAGTGAGTACAACAATCATATTTCCTTACTATTATAAGTGAAGCAAGAAAAACAAAATAGAAAAAAGAATTTAGTTTGCATTTGTAACAAAATTGATTTATAAATTAATTATTTTATTAATATCTTTTGGCTACTTCTATAGCTTCCAATATCCGCGAAAACATTTTTGATAAAATATTTCACTTATGATTAAATTTATTTTAATTAAATAAAATAATAAATTAATTTAACGGAAAATGTGGGATTGGGAAATGGGAGATTGAATATTATAATAAAATATATAATGTCAATATATTTTTAAAAAATTCTAACTCTCATGAGAGAATTAAATAGTAACGTATGCTTAATCTTTTGTACGTGTGACATATTAGTATCATCTGCCGCCATTCACATGATTCCGTGATATTTGCAGTTGTCACACACATTTTTATTATATGTGATAATCATATATTATGATAAATTAATGTTTCGGGCCACGCTTAGTTGCGAGTTGAAAGTATATTAAAATGGGCGCACGTGCGTTTCTTTTTCTTTTTTCACGCGACATATTTTCATTCGGTCTGACGGGAAAGTGAAAAAGGAAAGAATAGGAATAGTCGCAGTAAACGATGAAATATCGCGCAACATTATTTTTTTTTTAGTTTCCGAATCTTTTTTAACGAAACTTTGGCAATCAGAGTTATAGTGCCAACGACGAACGCGAAAACGTGTTCCACGATAACCGATAACCGAAAGATTGATCGCGTCAATTAACGAGCCACGACTGTCTGAAAGTTCGCAAACGAGTACAATTAATGGCGCATCAACGCGGTAGTCGAAGAAAGAGACATCAAAGTGGAACAAAATCTATTTAAACTGATCAAAACTCCAAAACACATGTGTGTGTGTGTTTTCATAATATTAACAAAATAAAATATTAAACATTAATGATAACGTTTATTAAAATAATATAAACTTATAAAAATGATATATATTTCAAGTAATTAATTTTATTTCAAGTAATTAATTTTAAAAACTTTGTAGGATAGCAAAATGTAAATACACACAGTATTTCAAAATACTTAATATAATATTACTTCAAAGGGTTTTAAGAAACAATTTTAATATATATGTAATGAAATTGAAACAAATTAAACGATGTTATAAAAATATATCCCGTCAATGCAATCGTCAATTATTTTAATTACGTTCTTCTGGAAAAATAAGTTTAGAATTTAATCTAGTGCACGCGTAACGAGAAGCGTCAAACCGGGAATGATGATAAATGCATAAAATACTCGCTTAAGAGAAAAGCAATCTCACGAGTATTCAGATCTCGACGGACATTAAATTTTTATAACCCAGGACATTTATCCGTTAATGCCGTCACTCCTCCTGATGGATGTTGCAATAATCGAATTACAGGAATGGTCCGTCACATAATTTATTACCTCCGGACGGTTTTAATATATTTTATTGTTAATTGCAAGAGGGAGAGTTTAAATCGATAATTATTATTATCCACAGCTATTTTACTTTGCAATTCTATAACCTTTGTTTGTATTAATGAAATTGTATCATATAGATATTGCGTTGATGGATAGATTGTGCGAGCCATAAACTCATATAATATGATATAATGCTATAATGATGTCGAAAGATAGAGAGAGAGAAAAAGAGAGAAAAAAAGAAAAGGAAAGAAATAGAGAATTATAGTATAGCATATGATATTCTTATAAATTATCAGAAAATATATATATAAGATGCAGCTTTTATTTAAATTTATTAAGAAAAAATAATTGTTATGTTATATCTAAAGACTTTTACATTAGCATTAAGTATAAATATCAGAATATTGCAGAAAGTAAAGTATAATATAAAAATAGTCGATTGACTACACTATGCGTTATCTCTTGATAGAAAATATTTTATCTTACATATTCTCTCGAGAGAAAACGGAAGATCTGGAATCGGTAACAATGTATCTACAACAGGATCAAATTATCGCACACAGTGAACGATATTGTAAGAGAGTTTAGCCAGAGTACAATTTTACCGAATGATCATTCGATCCACGAAGAACGGATTGAAAACCAATCGCGCTTCGCTCCGTAGAAAGATATAGGGCCCCGTTATATCTGGAAATCAATCTGAAACGTGCCCGAAGTAACTCAATTTTCTCCAATGATGTCTAAGGTTACCGTTGCAGGGGCCGCATATAAACTGATATGAGAACGTCCTTGAGTTTGTAACTTTCGCGAAGTCTGATCGCAGTCTTAATCACTAGAACTTCATCGTGAGAAATTAAGCACTACCGTTCTACAACTCCGACGTATCTTACCTTGTTTGTCTTAATGAACAGGTCTTCGAAGTTGCTTCCTTGCCTTTCCCAGATTTATTCGCTAACATTTGTAACAGGAACTGTAATGTCCAAGTGATATTTTTAAGAATGAAAAATTATATCCCGAAAAATTATTATCTAGAAGCAATCTATTACATTATTTCAAAATTTTCGGTTAACGAAGTCCGGAAAAACAATTTACAGAAATATATATATATATATTTATTTGTCAGTGGATAACCATGATAATGCAAATGCGATATATACTTGCCGAGCGAAATGTTACCGTATTCGAAGCTCAACATAGTAAAGCACATCCTACTATCCTAGGAACTGAGAACTTACCATCGCGCCATTGTGGTACATAAATCTTCTAGATCATTACGAGTTCTCCGTCCATTTAGTAAGGTCCTTTCAGTTAGATCCTGACGCCGTCGTAAGCGATGTCGTCGCGGTAACGACTGGGCTAGACAAGTGGATCCTTTAAAGCGCGATCGAGATGGTCGCGTGTAGATCCACCGGAATAATTCAAGCCGCAAACATCGTCCGACGTCAGTGGATCAGGCATATGAGAGAGAGAGAGAGAGAGAGAGAGAGAGAGAGAGAGAGAGAGAGAGAACCGGGAGAGAGGTTTAGACGAGCGAGACGAAGTGAAGACTCTCCTTTGCAGTTGGTTGTCGTCGGTAGCAGACTGTACTCTAATTAACGACGGGTAACAAGAGTACCCGAGAGAGATGGAGAGTCATTGTAATAACTCGCGTTGCTACGAGAAGCGGAGGAGAAAATGGGAGAGGAGGGATTGCATACAAAAGAGAGCGGGTAGGATGACGGCAGAATTCGCAAAAGGCATGAATTCTTGAATAATATCGGTATCTAAAGTGCGATATCTTAAGTTAGAATGTTGTCGATTAATTAATACCCAAATACTTTGTATACCCGCTGACATATCGCGAAAAAATAAGTTCAACAATGAAACAATATAACGACATACGAGAAATTATAGATAAGAGTATATACCCAAGTGGAGATGCTGAAGCGCGTAGATGAGAAATATAACAGATCGTGCAGCGACATTACAACTGTAATGTAACCTTAAAACGACCGCGCGAATGGACCCTCGGTACTAGGCGATACGAGATGAGACTCGGCTTTACGAGCGGAAGAATGTAACTTTTCATTTAGCGTCCATTTCATTTCATAAAGTGTAACGAGTTACGCGCGCTTGTGCGAGATCCGCTCGTAACTCCTTCGTGAAACCGAAACGGAGTTTGTATCGCGCTGGCCAGTCGTGACGCGTCCATGAGTCAGCGATTTTTTTTTTCCAAATAATGAAAATACACGATCGTCCAGCGTGAGTTTTAGATTGCATATAAATCATTTCCAAATACGAGCAAATGCCATTTAATTCGGAGATAAATCAGATATTTATGAGTGGAAAAATAATTGAAAAGATATATCCACAAAAAAATAATATAATATTTTTCTCTTCTTTCTTTGAAATTGAAAAAGATTAAATTTATATCATATATATGTGTGCGTATACAGATTATGGTTAATAATTTAATATAACATGTAACAACATTTTTTCCCGAGTACTTAATTATAGCGTTACAAATTCTTCAGTTCCTTTGTTTTTTTTTTTTTTTTTTTTTGACGTCTTGGAAACTTCTCAATTTCCGCGAAAAGTTCCGCTAAAGTTTGTTGAATTTCGCTTGAAGATCAGCACTTTCGATGAATATTGCGCGATGCGGTACGAGATATCGGGAAGACTAACTGTACTGTAAGCAAAATTGGGAGATGGATGGTCTCTCGTGTCGTATTAAGCAGATACAAATAGAGTCAAGAGTCATGCAACTCTATACGTCGATTTATACAAATTTAGCAATAGCAAAACGCTGATCATTTCTGAGTCTTTTAGTTTTTATCTACTTAATGTTTCTTTTCGTGGGTGACGAATTTTTTTTATTTGTGGTATCTAAATAGGAAAGTATGAGAAAATTTTAATATATTGATTAACGCAGAACTGCGCGGCATATCTATTATTTTTATATTTTTTGAGTTTATTGTTAAACGACGAGAATGGAGCAACAATTTAATGAGTTTTATTCCTGAATTTCGGTGATGTACAAAAAGAAACGAATAAATGACGCGATATCTTGCATATTACAGCGCGCATAGACAGCACAAAGAGTGCATTGTGAGTCAGACTTGCGTAGTTAATTCACATATTACACACATACGAGCCATGAATACACGCAGCATACTGGAACCAGTTACGCGCACCTTGTCTCATTATTCGAACTTCAAAGGGATCATACTTCTATGTTACAGCATCACAGAAATTATATTCCTTTCATATATTATATCACGTTCGTTTATAACAGATCGATCTTTACAACAATAGATAATTGATGTCGTCTAAGCCAATATCGTGAATCAATAAATTATCTTATAAGACCGCTTCATGAAAACGAAATTTACGATAAGAAATGAAACGTCGGTTTGATTTAATCTCAGTTGATACAATTGTCCGAGATAGTCGTTGAGTCGTTCTACTTCTTCGAATTAGTCTCGTTACTTCTTGATGAAAAACGAGGAAAGAACGAAATAGAGACCTTTTACGCGCGCGTGCTCAAGTTGCCGAATAAAGTCGGGCTGTAAGAAGGCTCGGTCGTAAAGTCG